CGGCTCAGGTCATGATCCCAAAGTCCTGGGATCGAGTCCCACATCGGGCTGCTTGCTCAGCAGGGAACCTGCTTCTCGCTCTGCTTCTGCCTGCCACTCTATCTGCCTGTGCTCACTCTCATGCTCTCTCTCTCTCTGACAAAAAAGTAAATAAAATCTTTAAAAAAAAAAAAGCTTTAATAAATAAATTTAATAAATTAAAAGCAGGACAAACAAAAACTAAAAGCATTTACAAACACCAAACCAGCCCTACAGGAAATATTGAAAGGGGTTCTTTCTAAGCAAAGAGAGAGCCTAAAAGTAACAAAGACCAGGAAGGAACAGAGACAATATACAGTAACAGTCACCTTACAAACAATTCAATGGCACTAAATCCATATCTTTCAATAGTTACCCTGAATGTAAGTGGGCTAAAATGCCCCAGTCAAAAGACACAGGGTATCAGATTCGATTAAAAAAAAAAAAAAAAAGACCCATCGATATGCTGTCTGCAGGAGACTCATTTTAGACCCAAAGACACTTCCAGATTTAAAGTGAGGGGGTGGAAAACAAATTACCATGCTAATGGACATCAAAAGAAAGGTGAGGTGGCAATCCTTATATCAGACAAATTAGATTTTAAGCCAAAAACTATAATAAGAGATGAGGAAGGACACTATATCATACTTAAAGGGAGTGTCCAACAAGAAGGTCTAAAAATTTTAAATATCTATGCTCCTAATATTAGAACAGCTAATTATATAAGCCAATTAATAACAAAAGCAAAGAAAAACATTGACAATAATATGATAATAGTAGGGGACTTTAACACTCCCCTCACTGAAATGGACAGATCATCTAAGCAAAACATCAACAAGGAAATAAAGGCTTTAAATAACACAGTGGACCAGATGGTCATTACAGACATAGTCAGAACATTCCATTCCAAAGCAACAGAATACACATTCTTCTCTAGTGCACATGGAACATTCTCCAGAATAGATCACATCCTGGGTCACAAATCAAGTCTCAACTGGTACCAAAAGACTGGGATCATTCCCTGCATATTTTCAGACCACAATGCTTTGAAACTAGAACTCAGTCACAAGAGGAAAATTGGAAGTTACACAAATACATGGAGGCTAAAGAGCATCCTACTAAAAAATGAATGGGTCAACCAGGAAATTAAAGAAGATTTGAAATAATTCATGGAAACAAATGAAAATGAAAACACAACTGTCCAAAATCTTTGGGATGCAGGAATAGCAGTCCTAAGAGGGACGTATATAGTAATAAAAGGCTTTCTCAAGAGATAAGAAAGGTCTCAGATACACAACCTAACCCTACACTGAAAGGAGTTGGGGAAAGAACAGCAAATAAAGCCTAAGCTCAGCAGGAGAAGAGAAATATTAAAGATCGGAGCAGAAATAAATTCAATAGAAACCAAAAGAACAGTAGGACAGATCAACAAAACTAGGAGCTTGTTCTTTGAAAGAATCAATAAGATTGATAAACCCATAGCCAGATTTATCAAAAAGAGAAGAGAAAGGACCCAAAGTAATAAACTCATGAATGAAAGAGAAGAGATCACAACCAACACCAAGGAAATAAAAACAATTATAAGAATATGTTGTAGACAAGTATACACCAGCAAATTAGACAATCTAGTAGAAATGGATGCATTCCTAGAGGCGTATAAACTACCAAAACTGAACCAGGAAGAAATAGAAAACCTGAACAGACCTATAACCAGCAAGGAAATTGAAGCAGTAATCAAAAATCTCCCAACAAAATGCTCAGGGCTAGGTGGCTTCCCAGTGAAATTCTACCAAACATTTAAAGAATTAATACTTATTTTCCTGAAACTCTTCTAAAATAGAAAACAGAAATGGAAGGAAAGCTCCTAAACTCATTTTATGAGGCCAGGAGTACCTTGATCCCAAAACGAGACAAAGACCCCATCAAAAAGGAGAATTACATACTAATATCCCTGATGAGTATGGATGCAAAAATTCTCACCAAAATACTAGCCAATAGGATACAGCAGTACATTAAAAGGTTGTGGGATTGGGCGCCTGGGTGGCTCAGTGGGTTAGGCCGCTGCCTTCGGCTCAGGTCATGATCTCAGGGTCCTGGGATCGAGTCCCACATCGGGCTCTCTGCTCAGCAGGGAGCCTGCTTCCCTCTCTCTCTCTCTCTCTCTCTCTCTCTCTGCCTGCCTCTCTGTCTGCTTGTGATCTCTCTCTGTCAAATCAATAAATAAAAAATCTTTAAAAAAAAAAAAAAAAAGGTTGTGGGATTTATTCCTGGGCTGCAGGCTTGGTTCAACATCTGCAAAGTTGGCTCAACATCCGCAAAACAATCTATGTCATACAATACATTAATAAAAGAAAGAACAAGAATTTATGATAGTCTCAATAGATGCAAAAAAGCATTTGACAAAGTACAGCATCCTTTCTTGATTAAAACTCATCACAGTGTTGTGATAGAGGGTACATACCTCAATATCATAAAAGCCATTTATGAAAAACTCACAGCAAATATCATTCTCAATGGGGAAAAAGACTGAGAGCTTTTCCCTTAAGGTCAGAAACAGCAGGAATGTCTACTATCACCACTACTGTTCAACATAGTACTAGAAGTCCTAGCCTCAGCAACCAGGCAACAAAAAGAAATAAAAGGTATCTGAATTGGCAAAGAAGAAGTCAAACTCTCACTCTTTGCAGATGACATATCCTTTATGTGGAAAACCCAGAAGACCCTATCCCAAAACTGCTAGAACTCATACAGGAATTCAATAAAGTGTCAGTATACAAAATCAATACACAAAAATCAGTTGCATTTCTATACACCTACAGTAAGATAGAAGACAGAGAAATTAAGGAGTCGATCCCATTTACAATTGCACCCAAAACTATAAGATACCTAGAAATAAATCTAACCAAAGAGGCAAAGAATCTATACTCAAAAAGCTATAGAATACTCATGAAAGAATTTGAGGAAGACACAAAAAAATATAAAAATGTTCCAAGCTCATGGGTTGAAAGAACAAATATTGTGAAAATATCTGTACTACCTAGAGCAGTCTACACATTTAAGGCAATCCCTATCAAAATACCATCAACTTTTTTCAAAGAAATTTAACAAATAATCCTAAATTTATATAGAACCAGAAAAGCCCCCACCTAGCCAGAGGAATGTTGAAAAAGAAAACCAAAGCTGGCGGAATCACAATTCCAGACTTCAAGCTGTATTACAAAGCTGTCATCATCAAGACAGTTTGGTACTGGCATGAGAATAAACACATAGATCAATGGAACAGACTATAGAGCCCAGAAATGGATCCTTAGCTCTTTGGTCAACTAATCTTCGACAAGGCAGGAAAGAATGTCCAATGAAAAAAGACAATCTCTTCAACAAATGGGTGTTGGGAAAATTGGACAGCCACTTGCAGAAGAATGAAACTGCGGAATTTCCTTACACCACATGCAAAAATAGACTCAAAGTGAATGAAAGACCTCAATGTGAGATAGGAGTCCATCAAAATCCTTGAGCAGAACACAGGCAATAACCTCTTCGATCTCAGCTACAGCAACTTCTTCCTGGACACATTGCCAAAGGCAAGGAAAGCAAGGGCAAAAATGAATTATTGGGACTTCATCAAGATAAAAATTTTTTTCACAGCAAAGGAAACAGTCAACAAAACCAATAAACTGACAGGATGGGAGAAGATATTTGCAAATGACATATCAGATAAAGGGCTTGTATCCAAAATCTATAAAGAACTTATCAAACTCAATACCCAATGATCAAATAATTCCATCAAGAAATGGGCAGAAGACATGAACAGACATTTCAGCAAAGAAGACATCCAAATGGCCAACAAACACATGAAAAAGTGCTCAGTATCCCTCAGCATCTGGGAAAAAGAAATCAAGACTATAGTGACATACCACCTCACACCAGTCAGAATGGCTAAAATTAACAAGTTGGGAAATGACAGGTGTTGGCAAGGATGCGGAGAAATGGGAACTCTTCTACACTGTTAGTGGGAATGCAAGCTGGTGCAGCCACTCTAGGAAACAGTATGGAGGGCCCTCAAAAAGTTGCTACCCTAAGATCCAGCAGTCACACTACCCTAAAGATACAAATGTAGTGACCTGAAGGGGCACATGCACCCTAATGTTTATAGCAGCAATGTCCACAATAGCCAAACTATGGAAAGAGCCTTGATGTCCATTAGCAGGTGAATGGATAAAGAAGGTGTGGTATATATATATACAATGGAATACTGTGCAGCCATCAGAACCCCAAAATCTTGCTATTTGCAATGGCATTGATGGAACTAGAGGGTATTTTGCTATGCAAAGTAAGTCAATTAGAGCAATACCATTATCATATGATTCTCACTGATTTGAGGAATTTGAGATACAAGACAGTGGATCATAGGGGAAGGGAAGGAAAAATGAAACAAGACAAAACCAGAGAGGGAGACAAACCCTAAGACACTCTTAATGTCAGGAAACAAACTGAGGGTTGCTGGAGGGAAGGGGAGTGCAAGGAATGGGGTGACTGGGTGATGGACATTGAGGAGGTTATGTGGTATGGTGAATGCTGTGAATTGTGTAAAACTGATGAATCACAAACCTGTACCCCTGAAACAAATAATACATTATATGTTAATAAAAAAATAAAAATAAAGAAACAGTATTTTTATTTAATAATAAAACATGATAAATTTACTTTCCTATTCTGGTATATTTCATATTTATTGAAATAATATATAGCAGTATGGGTCAAGAGTCATTAGCTATATACTGACTGCATGGAATTGGTATGAAAATCCTTCATGTTTAAGTAAAATTTCAATAAATTTCTAATGTTTTCTATTCTTAAAAACTGAATTAAAAACAAATATGGCTATCAAGAAAATACAGCTTTTCCAAAATACATATAATTAGTAGATACAGGTGAAATATATGGTTTACATTTTAATGATTTTTCTCTTTTTTTAAACAAAGGTCCATTTTAGCTTCTTATCTTCTGAAGGAGAAGCTCAACATCTTGGGCAAGTTGGGGTGTCTGCTAAGCTGTGCAGGTTCTGTTGTGCTGATTATCCACTCCCCAAAATCCGAGAGTGTCACTACTCAGGCTGAACTGGAAGAGAAGCTGACTAATCCAGGTAACTCCTTTGTAGCAACACTACCAAGAAAGCCTGCTTGTCAGTATGATCCTTCCAGGCATAGGCTGGAATTGACTTACCTATGGTCTGTTCTCCTAGACCCTCTGTTTGACTTTGCCTATGAGTGGCCCTCAACTGTGCCCTGCAGGCTATAGCATCCCTCACTCCTGCTGCCCCAGGTATGGGAATAGGCCTGGTGGTCCCTGTGTTCCAGACCTTGCATATTCACTCCATGATGTTCAGGATCTCTTCTGCTTTCTTCTGGACCTTGGAGACCTGGTGCGGGTCACTGCATCATCTGGCTCCCTCCACAACAGTCTCATCCATTCCAGCCTCCCTTTCACTCCTACCCAACTCCTGCTTACCATGACCTTCCCATTCCCCTACCTCCCATGACTCACATTCCCCGCATATCTCCCCCTTCAGCCTCTCACTTCTCCCCACCTCCCAGTTTTCCTACCCTACCTCTTTCTTGCATTCCTGCTGTCACTGTTTCTTGGTGTTATTCCTTCTGGGGTCTGCTTTGGGTCATGTTCCTTTCAGGTCCACTTTGTGTCCAAGCCTCTGCACTTCCCTCTGATGTGAAGCTTAGAGCTGAGAGCCAGTTTGATTTATCTTTGGATATCCCATAGAAATCTCTCTGTGTTTTTTCTGTGTATTTTTGACATACTATATATTGCTTGACCAATGCTATATATAAAAAAGCAACAGTCTACATAATTATACCAGCCTAAAGTATAGATTCTTCTAAATTATTCCCAGTAGACCATCTTAATGTTGTTTACCAACAATTTTAGACAGGTACCAGCACAAAACTGCATCCACACGAATATCCCAAATCCAGACATCTCTGGGCCACAAAAAATCTGACCATTCTTTTACATCTCTCAACTGGCCATGACTGAGTTTGCAGCAGAAATTTCTGTAAAATATAAAAGGGATTCATAATGAAATTAGCCAAGGCTATTTTTCTGTAATCCGTAAATATTTAGTATTATTTTATTTACTTCATCCTATAAAAGCCAAAATATTTTCAAAACTGTGAGAAATGAGAGTACAAATACATGAAAAAAAATCAGAAAACTGGATATGAATGTCCTGCAGAATTTACTTTATGTAATTTTCAGAACAATGTATCTTGTTTTGTTTTTTCTTTGAGTGGGGGCTGCAGAGGGAGAAGGAGAAAGAGAATCTCAAGCAGATTCCCCTCTGAGCCTGGAGCCTGACTCCAGGCTTGATCTCACAACCCTGAGATCATGACCTGAGCTGAAACAGAATCAGATGCTTAACAGACTGGGCCACCCAGGTGCCCAAAGGCCTCTTACTTTTTGATAAATCTGGATGTTACCAGTATATTCAGGTCCTAACTTAAAAAAAAAAAAAAAAGTCTAATTTGAATACTACCATAACAATTTGATGTGAAGATACAATGTCAGTAAAAAGATTTTTGTTTTTAACATGAATAACTTTGTTATAACCTGGAATATAAATTTATATTATCCACTTAATGTATTAAGTTAAAGAGGTTTCTAGTTTTTTTAAACTTTTTAAAAAATATATATTTTTAAAAGATTTTATTTACTTATTTGACACAAAGAGAGAGATCACAAGTAGGTAAAGAGGCAGGCAGAGGGGGTGGGGGATGCGGGCCTTGATCCTAGGACCCTGAGATCATGACTTGAGCTGAAGGCAGAGGCTCAACCCACTGAGTCACCCAGGCGCCCAAGGTTTCTAGTTTTTAAAATTTTTTTTCTAAGGTGGAAAACCAGAATGAATTTTTTTTAAAAAAGATTTTATTTATCTATTAGAGAGAGAGAGCACATCTAAGTAGAACAGCAGGCAGAGGGAGAGAGAGAGAAGCAGGCTCTCCACTGAGCAGGGAGACCGATGTGGGGCTCGATCCCAGGACCCTGAAATCATGATCTGAGCCGAAGGCAGTCGCTTAAACAACTGAGCCACCCAGGCGCCCCCAGAATGAATTTTTTGTCAAATAATTGCCTGAGAAGAAATTTTAAGGTCATTTTCCTGGATCCTTCCCCAGAACAGAACTCCATAGTTCCTTTTTCTTACCTTTGTTTGATAGGGGACTCCCACAGCCTGTCTGGTGCATGGCCATGCTGTTCCTATCCCTGTCAGGCCCAGCTCCTAGTACCTCCTTTACAATCTCAGATTGAAGTGGAAATTGTAACCTCTTTGTTCATGTAATTTCAAAGCAGATTTTCAATATGATGCCCTAACTAATATGAAGGAGAAATTGCAGGTTGGTACTTTATAATAAAACAGAATGCTCAGGTATGACTATAGAAGACATACTAAATCCAGCCGACCCCATGCCATGTGGAGTTGCTGACACCCTGGCAGCTACAAATACAGACACATAGCGGGTGTCATGCTATTAACTAACACTCAGCGGATATTGCCATCAGCAGTGGATCCTTTGAAACGGAGAATAACTCTTGATGAAGTTCTGAAAAATGCAGTGCTTATTAAATATATGCAAAAATTATTTTGTTTTATACATAAACTGGGTTCTAGACTGTGGTAATTTTTAAAAAATATTTTATTTATTTATTTGACAGAAATCACAAGTAGGCAGAGAGGCAGGCAGAGAGAGAGGGGGAGAAGCAGGCTCCCCGCTGAGTAGAGAGCCCGATGTGGGCCTCGATTCCAGGACCCTGAGATCATGACCCGAGCTGAAGGCAGAGGCTTAACCCACTGAGCCACCCAGGTGCCCCTAGGCTGTGGTAATTTTAAGCATATTTTTCACTTACAAGTCCAAGGAGACAATCAGAAGTTGTGAGGAGAATGGGATGATTTTTGATTGTGTGAAACTATCTCCACATCCTAGGCTCCATGGCCTTTATCTACTATATGTAGCCTTTGATCACTGCAACAGCCACAAATACTCCAACAGTTTTTTCACATGTTCCTTAAGAAACCTCCCACTCTGGCCACACACAAAGGAGCACCGTCTGCCTAGGTTTTGTTGAATTGACTCTAAAGTACAATCATCTGTTTTCCAGTGTTTGTGGGCTATCTGTGCATCGTGCTGCTTATGCTGCTGCTGCTCATCTTTTGGATTGCACCAGCCCATGGGCCCACCAACATCATGGTCTACATCAGTATCTGCTCCTTGCTAGGGAGTTTCACCGTGCCTTCCACCAAGGGCATCGGGCTGGCAGCCCAAGACATCTTCCACAACAACCCATCCAGTCAGCGGGCCCTCTGCCTGTGCCTGGTGCTTCTGGCTGTGCTCGGTTGCAGCATCATTGTCCAGTTCAGGTACATCAACAAGGCGCTTGAGTGCTTCGACTCCTCTGTGTTTGGGGCCATCTACTACGTCGTGTTCACCACCCTTGTCCTGCTAGCCTCGGCCATCCTCTTTCGGGAATGGAGCAACGTGGGCCTGGTGGACTTCTTGGGTATGGCCTGTGGGTTCACCACTGTCTCTGTTGGGATTGTCCTTATACAGGTGTTCAAAGAGTTCAATTTCAACCTTGGGGAGATGAACAAATCTAATATGAAAACAGACTAGGATGCAACAGGGGTTTGGGTGGCTCAAGGAATAGGAAATGAATGTGGTTTCTGGCTCTCATTTGATGTGAAGTGGAAGAGACCCTAATCAATGGTATTAAAGTTGCTTGCATATTAATGGGTGGTCTGATGGACAGTAGGGAGCATCACATAGCACCAGGGCAGGGGCCCAGCCCTTTGCAGTCTGAAGTTGCTAAATGGTTGCTTGGGCATCATCTCTCTCTGGTGAGAGGAATCTCATGTTCATTGCCATTAACCTGGAAGCTTTCATGAATACTCTTTCCTTTTAAAATATTTTAACATTATTTAATAGAAAATAAAGATGGGCTCTTTCTGATTAGTCTTTGCAGGGAGCAGATATTCTTATTTAGAAGATTACTTTGGAAATGGGAGAAATTGTTGTCTTGAAGTATGACTATACAGTAAATGTGTCCGTAGTTGTGTTATTTTGCATTAAGCATGTATAATGTTCAGGTACCTCATCCAAATGAGAAGTATATACATTTAATTTTTTTTAATCCTCTAATGAGCTGACTCTCCCACCCCTGACTCCAAGACATTTTAATTGAAAATAGAGAGAGAATACATGAACATGATACAGAGTTCCATTCACAGGATGACTTTCAATAGCTCAAATCAATTTCAGTGCCTTTATCACTTGAACTCTTCACTTAATTTGATGATTACTATGTATATGTTCTCTTAGATTAGAATAACTCTTTCATTATACTTTAATATTTCACTATTCAAAATATAAATATGTAAAGCATTTAGAAATAACAGTATTCATTTGTTGGAAGAAAGTCAAGGCGAAAGACACGTAAGAGCAAATTGATCCTTTTAGCATGTAGTTATTATCCAATTAAAGACAATCGACTTAAATAGCATAAGATTTTATTTGCATTCAGTCTATGCACCTGGGACCCAGTATCACATATATCCATGTTCTCTTTCAGTGGCCATTCAGAAGAAATAAATTATTTAACTTGATAATAACGCTGTTAGAGAGTAACTGTTTAATAGCATATATATCAAGTTCCCTATAATACAGGAACAGATTAAAGGACACAGTGAAGCTCAGTCTAATTTCTACAAATTGGAACACATATAGTAAGTTTTCAAAAGAATTTCTAGCAAAAATGAAAACAATTAACATATCCATCTCCCTATTGTTTGAGATGGCAGAGCACCCTACAGTTCATCACCCAACCTCTCATTAAGCTTCTGAAATGCAAAATAGCCACTAACTGTTCGGATCAAACAGATCATTCGTCTATTTATAGTAACCTTGTATGTATATTAAATGGGAGCAAAGCACAAAGTGATGCAAATTATTTCATTAAGATACAATGTACTTCATGTGCAGCATTTTACCTAAATAGGGAACTGTGTCAAGTTGGAAGATGGGATTGGGTAAGGTAGAGTTGGAGAACTAGAATATCAAATTTAATAATACCCAATTGAAGTTACTCACTAAGGGAAAAAAAAATATTTTTTTTCAGGCAAAAAGAACATTTCTAAAGACCAAAGAAATTGTTCCCCAGAGTGTTGAATGAAAAACCTAAATGAAATGAGGATAGTTTAACATAAAGTGAAGAACACCTTTATGAATTCAAAGTACATCTGATGATTGTGGGTTATCAGGGCTTAATGAACTAAGAGCAGCAACAGAATTGTTTTAAAATTTTTTGCATCTTATATTCACTGATAGTTAATAAATATTCAAAACTCCCTCACTCTTTTTATCAGCTCTTGAAGGTTTTTTTATTACGTGGTATTTTTAGGAATGTAAGCCTTAATTTATTGAACTGAACTTTGGAAAATGTCATGTTGTTGTATCAGTATACTTTTAGGCATAAAAATAGTTACCTAGATAAGGAGTTTGAGATATTAAAAGAATACATGTGATAACACAATTATACTGAGAAAGTTCATGTGTCTTATGGAAATTATCTTATTTATTTTGTTATAATTTACAAGTGAAGATTAGTTTAAATTCATTTATTAGTGTTTCTCATTATATTTTAATTCACAGTTATACCAGGATATTCAGAGGTGATATTTTCTGGGTGATTACCCCTATGATTTTTTAGAGTATAACAAAATCTGAAAGTAGTAATAGCGGGTCTCTTCTTCAGGGTGACTTGTTCTGGAACAGTTAGACTTTCCTAGTTTTAGCAGATTATTTTGGTAGGATGCACAGCTTTCCTTCCAGTAAACAAAGTTCTTAATGATTGTATTTCAAGTGTGTGACTCTAGCCTCAAATAGTTGACATGACCAGCAGTCTAATAACCTAATTTTCAAGTTTGACATAGAGCATATAACTTGACTTGAAATTATTATTATTTTTACAAATTTACATTTTCATAATTCATTTGGAATTGCAAAGAAAAAAGCCTCAAAGCGAGAGTTTTAGGGGAGGGCCTACAATGGGAATGGGTCTCTTTGGTCTCTCCAAAAGTAATTACATATGAAACATTTCCATTATTATACTATTCCTTGGGTTTTATCTCTGATAAAGTAAGAAAAAAAATACCTACTGTCTATTTGTTTTCAAGCTTCCTCTAAAATCTTATGTTTCTAATCACAATTTGCAGATTTATTCTGGATAGATACTTAAATAAGCCATTTCTCTCCTCTACTATTCAATCGATGCTTTGTTTTCTTATCTGAATCTTTACATTTAAAGAGATTGCTTTCTTGTTTTGCTCATTCAGGGTTAGCACTGAGACCACCCTGGGCATTTTGCTGTTTGGGAGGACCATTCCATGTGTGTAGAGAAGATTCATAAGAGGAAGGGCATTCTCCTCCTTGCCACACATACAGCAAGAATGTCACTATGATATTTTCATACTAGAATGTTAGTGAAATATACTTTCCTGCTTTTGGTTCAGCAATAAGAAATATTCTTTCAATTCCTAATTTTCAAGCCAATTAGTTATACTCAGTTTTATTTCCAGAAGTTCATTCCAGCTGTAGTAGGTTGGGTTTTGTTCTTTTTCTTTGGGTTTCATGTCTGATGGAAGAGAATACTATTAACATGTGCAGTTACCCCTCCCCCTCCTCCTTCCTTGACAGCTCCTCTCTTTGTAAATACTGTGCTCACTTATAGAAGCTAGTTCCTCGACATTTATAAAGCACTGAGATGCAGGATCTCCCAGGTATGGACAAACACTTTGGTCCATGGAGACCAAGATGTTGATGAGCTGCATAGTTCTTGTTGTAAGATGATACCTTTCTTTTCCAAGCTGCTCAGCTAATCTAGAAGAGGGGAGAAAGTGCTCCAATTGTTTACAGAGCCATGCCCATTGCTCTTTTCTGATGCCTACTTGATCCTGATTTAGGTCTCTTGTACAGAGTAGGAAACCAGAGAGAGAAAAATGCTTTAGTTTAGATCTGTTCACAACTGTCTGATTGGTTCCAGTGGTCTGAAGGAGTTGTCCTTCTCACTGTGTTTGAGACACCAAGGAAGTAGTAGTTCACCCATCAAGCAGGATTAGATGGAATCTTGGTGTTCCGCCTTCTCAGGGACCAAAAATGTAACATTAACAACTTAGCATCGACCTTCTTCCCAAGGACATGTCCATGTTAGTTTTCATATGTTTTACTCATATTCATAGCTAGAGGTCTGTTAATTTGAGTCGGAAAGAGAAAAGATCTAGTTACACACCAGTCACACACCATAAAACAGTTTATCATATAAAATACCTCAATTTTCTGTATTCCTCATTTCCACCTCACAGTTGTACTGGTGATGAATTTTAAGGATCTGTCCTTTAGCTTTGAGGTGATTTTTCACATCTGGCCAGATTCTTATACCTCCATCATATACTTGAAAAGATTAAGAATTAGAGGAATGAGAATGAGAATTTGGCTCAGTATCACTACCTGTTTATTTTCATACACATTTCTCACATGCTATTAAATGCAACAAGAGAATTATATTTTAAGAAAATGTAACTTTATGTTACATCAAAAAATGTTGTCTAGTAAAAAATTGATACTCAGTAGAACAATGATCATGTAAATAAATCTATTTCAAATGTACCCAATGTGATAAAAAGCATAGTCTAGGGCCCAGAGCATGAGCCAGGGAGAAGGATTTATTTGTTCTTTTCTCTATTTTTCCTTGAATTGTGCAACTCTAGGTGAGTCACTTAACCTTTCTGTGCCTCAGTTTCTCTACCTCTAAAGGGGTGAGATGGTTCTCCAAATCACCTGTTTTAGAGCGCTCACACTTTCAGCGTGTGTTGATAGCTTCAGACAAGAGTGTTCTGTGCAGGATTGCTCTGGAGTGATGCAGTGGAAGCTCAGCTTGCACTGGGCATCCTGTTTGCTCAGGACTGTGTTACTGACATGCAGCTTCAAGCACTGAGTAAGCAAAGGAAGTGCTGGGTGTAAAGTTTGCACGATTCCATGAAGCTTTAATTTTCTTTTTTTTTTTATTTTAAAAGGAAGGGTTTTTTATATTCTATTATAAAATATGGGAATTAAACAGGGATTTTTTTAAAAAGCTGCACTGAAAGATCACATTCTGTTGGTGTGATGAGATTTTCTGACATTCTGCATAGGTTTATGTTCTGCAGAAGATTCAGTGACCTGTGAACCAGATCGATTCTGTTGTGTTAGATTTATAATGAATGATGCTGAACTTCCTGCTTCCAAGCAACTCAACCCTGACCATGAACTACCTGATACCAGGTAAATGTCAGGAGCTCCCAAACCATTAGTGCCAAAAGGTCATGTTGAAAAGTTCAGACTCTTTCTTTTATTTGTCAAAATATGATAATTTGACCCCCACTCCCATGTCAGTGTTTTTGCACTTTGGAATAATTTAAGGGTACTGTTTTTCAGTAGCATTCCTGAGTGTTTTTGCCCTTTTAAATGATAAACATTTCTTTCTTGTAAAATGGAATATCACCGTGAAGGAGATGATGACTAGATTTAAAAAAAAATGTAACATGTTGATTGTTTGCATAAGTTTTTTTTCCTGTAAATGTATCAGGGGAGCTTCCAATTAGCATACATACACACATTGTCAATGGCTAAGACTTGCTTATATTTTGCTTTATAGAAGTAGTCACAGCATGTTGTAATTGCCTTATGTAAATATGAAAGGCTATTTATTAAGTTTCCCAATAATATTTATTAATCTGTATGTGTTTTAAAATAAAATAACTTATTTCTAGCTGAACACTCGTTACTTTTTTTTTACCCACTACTTGAAATGTTCATGCAGTCTCAGGTTCCCTATCATCCTAATGAATTCCTCAATTAAATGTTTCCCATTTTATTATAGAAACAAATAGCCCAGGTCCCCATCATGATATAGAAAATGTACCTGTGAATATCTTAGGGAACAAATCCATGATATGTGAAGGAATTTATCATCTAGTGATTACCTTCTGATAAAATGAAATGATGGTATTAAAGAAAAGCAGCTATATTTTAACATGTTAATGCATTTTACATGTTTGGGAGTGTAGAATATGACATTTTATCATATTTTAAGCACATGGAAAATTAGAGAATCATAACATATTTTAAAACTATAAGGGTCATCGGAAATCTTGTTATTAATCTTTATTAGTGTCCTGTAAGTCACTTTATTAAGTGGAAAAATATTGGATGCCTGGGTGGCTCAGTCTCATTTCAGGTCAGGTCATGATCTCAGGATCATGAGATCGAGTCTCCACTCTGGGTGTGGAGCTTGCTTAATTCTCTCACTTCTTCTCCTTTTGCACCCCCCCAAATAAAAAAAGGAAAAAAGTTTTATTTGAACAAAAATATGTATTTTTGAGGCTCTGTCCAAAAGGATTTAATTACTCACACTTTTAAAAACAGATTTTATTTATGTATTTATTTTTAAAATACTGTATTTATTTATTTGAAAGAGAGAGAATGAGAGAGACCACATGAGACAGGGGAGGGTTAGAGGGAGAAGCAGACTCCCTGCTGAGCAGGGAGCCCGATGTGGGACTTGATCTGAGGACTTCAGGATTATGACTGAGCTGAAGGCAGTTGCTTAACCAATTGAGCCACCCAGGCACCTCATAAGACAGACTTTATTTTTACTTAATCTCTACACCCAGTGTAGGGCTCCAACTTAAACCCCATGAACAAGAGTTGCATGTACCATCAGCTGAGCCAGACAGGCACCTCTAATAACTTATATTTTGATCAAAGTATAACTATATAGAAATTGGGAAAAACCATTTTTAAAAACCATCAAATGGTTTCTT